GCTTGAGCAAGGACAGCTTGACACAAAAGGTAACTTTTTTTATATGTATGTATTTGAAGAGAGTGGTGCTAACTGTGTCCCATGACAAGTTTCTGTTACAAAACAGCTGGTGGTTTCCATATTCTGTTTCGTTGCTTGAAGTAGAGCGCTGCTAGTTCTGCTGCCTTCTCAGACAATTTAATGCATGATCTCTCAGTTTTGCTTACTGGAAATTTCTGCTGTTTTGCTCAGAAGTGCTTGTATGGAGTCAGAACGAGTAGCTCTACAATTAAAAGTCCTACAGCTATTTTTTATTTTTTTTCCCCCCGAGAATCCCTTTATTAAGGAGTACTACCTGTCCCAGACCTCAGGTGATCTGCAGTGAAACAAAATGGTATCTCATTTGGTATGATTGTGTCATAGAGTGCTCTGGGCAGCGTGTCTGACGCTTGATGGAAGAGGCTGCTGGTTTGAATGAGTCTTCAGACCGCATTACCTCTGAACCATTACAGGCGAAGAAGGTGGGGGGAGCATTCACTGCCTGATGCTTTATACATTTACTGTATATATGAAAACCATCCCATGAAACCTGACTTAAATGTGGGGCACACAAAATTAGCTAGTGTCTCATAGGAAAAAAGGGTGGTTCTGTCATTTCAGCTGATGTAGTGTTGCAGAGTGTGCTTTCTACAGAGCTTTAAGTAATAACCTACATAAAAGAGGAATTGTGGTACCTTCTAAAGCTCAATAACTGGAGAATGTATAGCATGGCTACATGTGATGTTTTGAGGAAAGACTAATGTCACTGGAAGTGACTTTTAAAAGAACAGTACTACCTTCATGAGTCTGAAGTGTAATGCTGCAAGACTGCTGGGCCTCCTTAATGAGTGGTTGGTGCTCTGTCCCATTGCAGCTCAAAGTTTGGCAGAATTAGCCAGGTCGAGATTTCAGGTAGACACTATTGAAAAACATAACTTCTTTTGAAATTATTAATACTGAAAGTTACTTATTTGCTTCTGAGCCTTTGCATCAGGGAAGGCTGTTAAACTGGCTTTACTCAAGCAACGAAACTTTAGTGAAGAAAATATTTAAACTATTAAAATTCTTTTCCTTATTTTCCAAACAGAATCAAGATAACCACAGCATCTAACAATTAAATGCTGCTCGTTTAAAAACATTGGGGGGGGGGAATCAGTTTGAAAAAGTGGTCCAAGTCAAAGCTGTTAAGAGTTTTTTTTCTTGCTCTTCTAGGTGTGCACAATGTGAAAGCCTTGGGTAATCTGATAACTTGGCAGAAAGTGGATTATGACTTCAGTTACCACCAGATGGAATTCCCATGCAATATTAACGTTCTTATCACCTCAGAGGGCCGATCGCTCCTACCGGTATGGCAAGATCTTCTTGAATTTGGGGAATAATTACTGTTAGTAGATATTTAAAAACACTGAGCACACTGTTCCAGGGACAAGGAAAAGATGCACGTGAAGACAGGAAGACTGTCTTATGAGCAGTGATGTAAGAGAGCCACCTTTCTTGCTTGGTTGAATACTGATGGCAAGGTAGTGACTGAAGTTATCAGCAGGCATTACAACATTGGGTAGAGCCTGCAGGTAGACCACTGCTCTGAAAGCTTCATTGTAAAACAGCTTCAAGAGGGGTTGGGTGTATGAATAAAGAGCAGTTTGTCTGGAATTGCCCCTTGAAAAAACAGAGTAGCCTAATGTTACGTGTCTCTGACCACTTGCAGTCCAGCTTTATAAACTGAGAAACTGTGCACTTGTCTCAAAGGGAAACTGACTTATTGAATAAAACTCCACGCTGGGTTTCACAAAGGGAATTGTTAAGTATTTAAAGAAGGAATTGTCTTGCCTAAATTCTGAGCCTTTTGCCTTGGAGGTTAAATCTTGGAGTAGAAAAGCCATATGAAAAGGGATGATGTGTAATTTTGTTTTCCAGTCAGATTGCCAAGTCCAGTTACAACCACAGATAATTCCACCAAACATGGAGGAGTACATGAACAGCCTCCTAACTGCAGTGCTCCCTTCTGTGTTGAACAAATTTCGAATTTACCTAACTCTACTGAGACTGCTGGATTACAGCATATCTGATGAAGTGACGAAGGTATGGAAGATTTCACTAGCTGATTTTCAACTCCATCAGATAGAAAGTGCCTTACTATGTTACTGTACTTGCTCATTTCTCTCCCGGGCAGTGACTGTTGGAAGTTCTTTAAAAAGGAAGCATTTTATTGTCATGGATATGCGTGCCTTCAAGGGTTTGTACTCACGAGTGCTTCAGTGTATAGAGTTCATACACATCCTGCTTGCTAAAACTCATTTTGAAAATAATTATATTCAAAGATGAGCAAGCCTGTTTTTATCCAAGCTGATTTCCTGACGTTTCTCCTGTAATCTGAGGATAGTTGTGGTGTTTGAATACTGAAGTCCTTTTGTTTGCTGTACTGTTTATAGGCAGTTGAAGAAGACTTTGTAGAAATGCGCAAGAATGACCCCGAGAGCATAACTGCTGATGACCTGCACAGAACTCTGCTTGTAGCAAGGTGGGTAGTGCTCTTAGTTTGGATGGAAGACTTTGAAGCAAGCTGGAGCCAAACTCATTTAATGCTGACACTTTAAGGCAGGTGTGTGAGGAATCTTTTTCCTCTGTTTCTGTCAGTTTCTTAACCAGGTAGAGTTCATCCTCTGATTTCCAGTTTCTGAGATACTGACAATTCTTCTTAAGCTGCTTTAGGTTACCAAATGTGAAACCATCACCAAGTTCTTCCTTAACTGCTGTTTCTGCTCATCCAGGTTCCTGTCCCTCAGTGCAGGGCAGACGACGCTGTCAAGAGAGAGGTGGCTGAGAGCAAAACAACTGGAGGCACTGCGTAAAGCCAGGCTTCAGCAGCAAAAGTGTGTTAATGGAAATGAACTTTAATGTTTTGTGGATGTCATGATAAAAATTTGTCTAATCCTAAATGAAACCCATACTAAGATTGGGATATTGTTTATACCAGTTTTTTTGTAGATAATTTATACCAAGATATTATGGATATTTACCCTTGCAATCTGAACACACTATCTCTGTTCAGCCAGCTAAACATATTTTATGAAATTTTTTTGGAGCCTGTTTTGTAATTGAGAATTGGTAACACTGAGCAAATGATTTGATATTAAAGTTTAATACTGAATTTGTGTAAGCTCATTTCCTTTAACAATAGGAAAATGTAACCCGTTGCCCTCATAGCAGGGGTAGAGTCTGCTTGGGAATAAGTATGGTGTGATTCTTCAGCTGTGTGAGTTGGAGGACCAGAGGCTGCTGCTGAGCAGTTTCTGTAAGTTTAACTTTGGGCTTTAGGCAGCCAGGGCTCTGCAAGGTGTGTTGTTGCCCTCTGAGCAGCAGAATAATCTGATTCTCGTGCAGTATGAAGAATCAATTTAAAATTAGCTAAGATTCCAGTATGAAATTCATCCTTACTGTACTTAAAGACAACTCTCACTAACCTACCAGTCCCTCTCATGAGCTTTACACTTCAAACTATTTCATACAGGGACAACTGATACGTAAATAAGCCACATCTTACTATATTAGTATGTTATTAATAATGCAGGGTTTGTATGAATAATATCAATTAAGTACTAAGAATGGTCTCTATCTTATACTGTACAGTTTGCACTGATGGTCACAAGAATCCCCCCTGCCCTAATATGATTTGCAGAACTGGTGGAACAAGGGTGGTTTGAGTGAAATAAATACTGAACTCATACAGAATAATCCATAGAGATGGTACAAGGGTAGGGCTTCTGCCCCCATGGAGAGCTTGAAGTATATGAATCACAGTTAATTCTAGATAAGACTAAATATTCTTTTGTGAACTTCACGTTAAGCCTAAGCCACCTTACTTTTTGAGTGAGACAGTGTTAACAGGAAGCTGCTAGTTTATTGCCTTTTCTGTTCCCAGCACAATGGTAGCTGCACAGCAGAAGCAACTTGAAATTGTTTTTTTTTTTGTCTGCAACTTAATGGTACTCAATTATAAAAAGTTTTTTTTATACACTTTTGACTTCAGCCAATATTGTTTTTTCAGCTTAAAGATGCGTTTGTCTAAAACCTGGCTCCACTCTGGGGAAAAAATGCAAAAATACAGCCTGTAAATGTTCTCTTGATGATGATTTTGTTATGGTACTGTCTCTTCAAGAAAACAAGACAGCTTATAGAAGTGAGCTCTAGTGTGCAGTGTCACATGGCTGCTTCCTCTACTTTCTGAAGCTGCTAGATAAGCTCGGCAACAGCAACAAAGGCTAGTGAAATTTTCAGGGTGGGTGTATGGTATGTACACTGGAGAGTGCTGCTCACTTCATAGTGAAAGGTATGGAGGGAGCATGGAGAAACCCTGTTTTGGCTGCACAGTTGCAATGAGGTGTTTTGTAGCTTCCTTTTCCTGTTTGCAAAGCCTTGAGAAGGCTAGCCAAGGCAAGGTTAGTCTTATCACTTTCAGACATGCCCTTACCTCTGCCTTGGTATCAGGCCTCCTTGAAACTGAAAGCTATGTCAAGCATTAAGAGTATGTTAATGTTTATCACGCATTAATTGACAGATTCTGAAAGCGGTCAAGGCCAGGTCGGATGGTGGGTGCCATCAGCCCCCAGTAAGAGTAGTAGAAGCAGATGAGCTTTAAGGTTCTCCCCAAGCCCCTCTGTGCTTGTATGAATGCAAATATTTGCATGGGTCAGTTTCTCTTTCCTACCAAAATAATGACAAAATTTCTTCCAGCTACTACAGCTTTGTGGGAATTCTCCCTCCCCCTGAAGCTGTGCAAGTTCTGTGTCATTTTCAACAGTTTCTTAGGAGTATCTATGACTTTTCCCCTTCAGGCTAATGTTGTAGCACTGCAGCTCCAGGAGAAAATGATAAAAGGTCTCTGCCAGATAAAGGGTCAAAGCAACCTACCCCCTCCTTTGAAACTTAACATTCCAGACTTACATAGTAGCATGTACCTTGATAACATGCAAGGAAGCATCTTTGGGTTCTATTTTTTTTTATTAAAATATCTCATATATATTGCTTACATTAAAATACAGCAGTAGTTTAATTTTAAATAGAGCCACAAGTATAGACACTCAAAAAATCCCAAACCCACATCACTTCAGTAAAACAAATAAATAAAGTTTCAGACAGTTCAGTTTAGATGAAGGTCAGACGATGATCTCAGATGAACAAGTCCTAAGATGCTGTACTAGCCTACCCATGACACTACTTCTAAAAACACCACGTGCAGCCTACCTACAGTACATGGACTAGAACAGAGAGGCACTGGCTCTATAACAGTGGTTAGAGTAGGTAGAGTTACGAACCACAGCATAGCGACATCTGCTTTGGGGTAATGTCCTGCACTAGGATGGCAGTGCAAGGCATTTCTGGAAGAGAATAATCTTTTGACGCATATATGTGCTGTTTGGTGTTTTCCTTTTAAACCTGGTTCCCAGCACGAGTGGAAGGTTAGCCTTATTCTGCAAGTATGCAAAGCTTGAGCTGGTAATGAATTTGGTTTTGATTAGATGATAAAGACAACTATGCTCTGATGTCAACGCTGACTTTATGAAACATTTGCCTTCTGTTTTAAAGGTTACATCTTTCCAGCTGGACAGTTAGAATATACAAGGAGAGTGACAGCATGGGGGGGTCACAATGCTTGAAGTTCAGGTATCTGGCTGGTCTTGTGTTACACTAACTCAAAATGTGAGCGTATTGTCACTACCTAGAATTTGGATAAAGGCTGTGGAACAGCTTTAATCTGGAAAAAAAAAATAGAGCATTTGCCTCACTTCCCTTTACCTCAAATCTACAAGATAAATTTGCACTGCAGGATTGCGGATATTTCAGATTGTATCAGGATATCATATCTTTACTGAAAGTGGCCCAGGCAGTGTGGAAAGAAAAGAACAGTGAGAAGTCTTAATTGCTGATTAACATAATAAAATACAAAAACAAAAAACAAAAAAGCACATTTCTCATTGTAGAGGCACAATTCATAGAAAATTGCATCTAAAACTTCAATGGAAACAAGTAAAAATATTAGTCCAAAAATAAATAACATGTAATCTACTATTAAGAAGTTATTTTGCTGGTGCAGTGCAAGGTAAGTAAGGTCACAGAAGTGCAGTACAAGAACCATTTTAGTATAAATATTCTCTACATAAGTCAGAAGAGCTACAAAATTAATCCCAAAAAAACACCTGTGCAACAGATTTAAGATAAACAGCATGCTTACTAAGTCCCAGTGTCTAAACTACCTGTTCAAACATGATTTACCCTTCTTTTGTCTCAGCTGCCTAAGGGAATTCTGAAGCCAGAACCAAATTCATTTGCATCTCTTGCACTGTAAACAAGTTATCCGTATTTTTGATCCCGTTATTCATTAGCAGTTAATGCTACAGTGAACTCCAATATAGGGTTCTTGGGTTTTTGTTGGGGTTTTTTTTAGGGTTTTTTTTTTAAGTATTGGTATATTAGAAGCCACAACAAGAAGAACACTCCATTAACAACTAAATTTGAATTATTCGTGTCTGACATTGTGTAAACATTTCTTTCAGTTCTTTTTGTTTGATTTCATGTAGAGCGTCTGATTCTGCAGGGCTCTTCTGGACCTTTGCCACAGCAAAATTAATTCCTTGAGTCAGTCCTGCTTGTGTGATGTTAGCAACCTGGACCATGGAACTGCGAATTTTAGCAAAAGGAGATACAGCTCTGCTGCTGCTACTGTCAGCTGGAGAAGGAGTTGTGTGGAGTCCTGTCTCAGGGATACCAGAAGCAGATCCTGGGCTTCTGTGAGATTTAGTAAAGTCAGTCCCATCAACAGCTAAGAGCTGAGGATTTGGCTCAGAAGACTGTACATCCAGCTTGGATGGCCTGGAAGGAATGCCTGTGGTAGTTTCAGTCTTGTTTTCTGCTTCCTTACACACGTTATTGCTGGTTTCATGTATTGCGTGATGTGGCTCTTGAGAGCAAGTCTCCAACTCCAAAGCATCTGACATTTTATTTTGAGCATCCTGCACAAACCTCTGGCAGTACACATCAATAGGTTTAGCAAATTCCATCTCTGCACTGTCAGCAGAAGGTACAGGTACATCTTCACAGTCAGACTGGTTAGCTTGAGTGACATGAATCTCAGTTGGAACATGGATGCTGATGTTCATATCAGTGCTGCTTACAGACTGGGACCGACTGCCCAGCCGTGGAGCTGAGGCAATGATGCCACAGCTAGGCAGCACGTAATCTATCTGCCCTATGTTCTCTAGGGAGTCAGTTAACTGGTTGTCCTCGTCAGATTTAGAATTCGTCAGAAAATCATCTGAGTGGAAAGAATCATTATCTGACATTTCTGTATCAGATTCAGCATGGACTTTAGTATCTACTGCTGGATTCTCCAAAGTTTCAAGGCTGCTGTCTGATTTCCAAAGATTAACTTTCAAATTCGGTTTTAAAAAATTAACTTTCACTTCAGGTTTGGTGAAGCTGCCTAACTTCCGAAGATTGCTGATGTTCACGTTGGATTTGGTTTGTTTCACCTTCTGATTGAGAGACGAAAACTTGCTGAGTAAGTAATTCTTGCCTTGTGCCAGGGACCCTCTGTTCTGAGAGCGAATGCCAATGATGTCTTCGTGAGGTTTGCTGCTCTTCCTGGAAGAAAAACCAATCTCTAGTGTCCAACTAAGTGCATTTCATCTATAAACACCAAGTATTCACCATTTTCCAGTCTATTTCCATAGAGATTGGCACTTTACATAAACTGTACCCACATCAAAATAAAAACAACAAGAACAAAGGTGTGACAGAACGGCATTCAAACAAGGCAAAAATACGCAAATACTTGTAGTTTCAGATGAAACTATTTGATGTCTGTGTCCTTATAATTCCTACTCTGTTTATGATGCAATCTATATTGAGATTTAGGAAAAAAATAAATAGATCAGTATTTAGGGCCTGTAAGCAAAATTTTCTTGCTTCTTTTTCCAGCTGAGCAGAAATTGAAATGATAGCCCAGTAATCAGATGCGTAAGAAAGTTACTGAATGCATGCTCTGATGTGTTGTGCAGCACAGCAGTAAACTGTCAAGCAAAAAACATTTTCTAGCTCATGCAGTTTGAACTGGAATGAACTAGTAAAATATATTAAATATCAAGTAGCTTTCCTCTTATTTGTACTCCACTGTTCTTTTTAAATGATTTCTAACACCTCACCAGTATTTGGAGATACAAAATACTTTTAAGTTGATTATATCTCATTAGACAAATTATCCAAAAGAAGTACTTTAGAACTGTCCTCTAAGTGAGCTTGCAAAAATGAAAACTGATGTGCCATTCTGATTAATACACAGGTGTTCATTAGTTCAGATTCCAGCCATCTCAGAGAACAAGCTATTAACTCAGGCACAAAAGTCCATATTTCTTGGGATAAGAAATTTCTGTTTTTAAAGCTTCATACCACAGTTCTTGCGTTATCTGTTTCTAGACCATACATTTAAGCAGTTTATTTCTTGTAGGAACAAAAATAAAGCCTTGGACACTTCACATTAACTCAGACTAAATACTTGCATCCCTACATTCTGGTGTACAAGACATTAGCAATTTTTCTCTTTTCCATTTTTGTTGCTTTATAAAGAAATGTAAATTCTAAAAACACCAACTCTCACACTGTCCACTACTCTAAGACATTCTTAAGAGTTGAATGTTATCTCTTCTTCTATCAACGTTCTTGACACAAGACCCAAAACACTATCTGGGGTTGTTTAACATTTCAGATGATTTAATCTAAAAATATTTTTTTCCTAACTACAGAACTAGTAAAACACACATCAAAGTTCAGCTAGGAATTAAAATTCAGACTAATCATGAAGCACTCAATTTGCAGTATGTTACTTACTTTTGATAACAAATATTCCGTGTAGTCACAAAGGTACAAAATAGTATTCTTGTTTGTACTTTTAAGAAAGCATCTGTAGATAGCAACCACTGAAAGCATGATAACACATTAATATCTGGATCTAGATGTGCTACTTCCTGGTAGGTACTTCCTAGTATGCTACTTTCTGGTAGGACTCCTACTAGAAGCAGGATTCTTTCTTTTAGGTAGCACACATTTTACTGTTGTAATCTTAGCCACTGAGGACAGCAAAGCTGGGACAAAGATTTGTATGATTAAAGCACTCACCTCTCCAGCTTTTTCTCAATAATAGGCACATCCAATCCCATTGCTTGCTTTGTGATTCGCAGCATTTCTGCTATGCACTGAAGAGTGTCTGAAATCCAATTAGCAGCCTGTCAGATTTAAAAACTTGACATCTCCACATCCCAAGATCTAAAATCAGATTATTTTTTTTTTTGTAACTTAATTAAGGTTGGGTTTTTCCCCCCCTATTCTTTAGAGTTGTTACACTCAAGTTGCAACTGATTAAAAGCTTACAAATAAATCTAAGGAAATAGATGCTACTTAAGCACTGGGTGTAAATGAATCACTGCCATAATACATTTGCAGAAGGAACACATACAATTGCACTTAATCTAAATCCTTGACTAAATTCAGTGCTCCAGGTAAAGAGTGATGGTTTTCCCTATTAGAGTTTCTTTTATTTAGTTAAACAAGAAGCAAGAATGTTTCTAGATGTTGCTTTCAGTAACTAAACCAATTTCTTATGCTCATTAGGAGCCAATATGAAGTCTGTTTTATCCTCATGTCTACATATTCGTTACTCCAAAATTGGACTCTTCATTCTAGATGAAAGTATTGCTTTAAAACCACATCTGAAGCTTATTTTTCCTCTGTTAAAATAGTCACAGTTCAGCGTACACACAGGACATACAGCTTTCTTCCCCTTCCTCCAGTAAAAGAGTTAGTTATATCAAAACAACCTATGGTGGATAAATTTTAACAGCTATGGAAAAGGTTTTCAGAGGAAAGCTGGTATAATTAGTACACTTTCACATACAAAGCTTTTACACAAGAAACAAACCTTTTCCATCTTCATCTGGGTTGCGTACCACAGCTCGAAGGGTGTGAAAATATCCACTTGTGTCCTTGTACTTGTAGTGCAGCCTCATGCAGGAGAACTTGGGTTTGCCAAAGAGAGTAGGCTCAGGCCCTGAGAAAAAACAAAATTAGAAATACCCTTGAATGGAATAATGAGAAAGGTATTGTGGAGACTATACCTAAACAAGTAAGAAACACCTTCACGTTTTGTTTAAATAGCATAGGCATTTTAAATGAAAGGTTTTCCACAATAACTAAGTTATCAATTACTTTCAAAGAGCAACTGGACTTCACGCAATTTGTTATAATCCTGCCTGTTTATTACAGACCATCCTCTCAGAGAGGAGAAAAATTCTGCATCTATTCCATCCTATGTCCTAGGAAATGTTTCTGAGAAGATTAAAGAGAGAAAGTTACGTATTCACCAATAAGTTTCACAATTTAAATCAAGTACTTCAACTTTTCAATGCACTTCAAAGGTGCATTGTTCCTATCACTGGACAGCTGGAGGTGTTAGGTGTTTTTAGCAAGGTATTTGCTCTTGCTGTTTCAACTTTAATTGGTAAATCAAGGTGTATTGTGGAAATCCACAAGTGAGGCAGACTTTTCCAAAGAATTCTTAGGAATTCTACACACATAGTGAGAGTTACAGCAAGGAGGTGATAAAATCAGGAGGCGTTCTGTAATGGATGATTGAACTTCAGGAAGGGGGGCAACAATGGAAGTTAATCAACATAAAACAATTCCGAAATAGAATTTTCCTTATCAGACCGTACTGAAAAAGAACAAACTTTAAAAAGCTATGAAACAGATCTGAAACACAACTGAGAGACAACTGCTGTATTTGGATCAAATAAAGAAGTCCACCAAATACACATACCTGTAACTGATTACAGAATTTGATTAATCAGTTACTGGCATTTGAGAGATTCATTTTGCTTTGATGAATTGATGGTGTTGGCTTTGGTGCTCTGGTATTTTTTTGGAAGAGTTTGAGAGTGCATTTTTGTTGCTGCTTTGGAGCCCTACCAGGGATCAAAGCTTCCATTACAAGCAGGACCAGAACAAAAGATTGTGAAAGAACTCTGGAGTCTTATCAGCAAGAGAGCAAATGTCTAGGATGCACTGCACAGGATGCAACACGTGTGGAAGCTTGCTGTTTCTATTCAAAGCAAACTACAGATGCATTAACTGGGCGAGCTGTTGTTAAGAGCATTCAAGAAACACATGCATTATGTATTCTTACCTATTTCTATTTTTTCCAGTGCTTCAAGGCTTAGCCTTTGGTACTGATTCACCTTGTCAATTTCATCATCATAACTAGAAAAAGAATCAGAGTTTTGTACTAATTTGAAACAAAGCTAGTAAAAGTAAACTACACAAAGTAAGAGAAGCTGGTAACTTACTAGGCCACGTAGTAGGCAGAATTAGAAAGCAACAGCAGAACATCCACATCTTTATGAGTGGCATCAATGAGACTGAAGGAGGAGAAAAGATAAAGTTTAGCCTGCAGAAGATCTGACCATTGTTTATCTATTATACTTCAGCATACTCTGAACTCGATAAGGAGACTGATCAACGAAATCAGAATTTATTTATGCTCACTATCATCATGAAGAGCCACCTAGGATTGCCTACTACTCATCTATTACACCAGAATTTAACACGATCCAATGAATTTGAAGTCAAGTTATTGCTTTGTAGAGGAAGAATAAGGAAATACAGATCAAACAGCCCCTTCTGGAACTAAGGGGAGTTAAAAGTCCTGTCTACCACATTCTCCACGTATAGCCAGATGATTTTTCAGAAAACTCAAGCACCCACCATTTTTATGGCATCTGAGATAAAACACAAGGTTTCTAAGACCTTTACTCTTACAACTACTCAACTGTAGTTCACAGTTGAACATCTGCACTTGTTTAACATACCAGTTATCAAAGTTATATAACTTGTCAGAAGTAATTAACAGAAGATGTGATAGCAGCTGGTCAGTTATGATTGGTCAGTTCACTCAACAAACCTTGGGTCACAGTCAATAAGTGCCCATCCTCCATGGAATTTTTCATCATCTGGTAAAAGCAGTTTCATGTAGCTCTGCAACAACTGACTAATTAATTCCTGATGGCTTCTCAGATTCTCTCTGTGCAGGGCTTCATGTTCTTTCTCTTTTGTAAATATGGAGTAGAGATCCTCTGTTACAGGGATACCCTGCATCAAGTCTAGATATAAAAACACAAGATATCAGTAAGAAGCTGCCAACAGTTCAGCAATATACAACAGTAGTCTGTGAATTGCTTTGTCAGTTCCTCCAGTGGTTCTTAAAATAGTGAGCTGTAACCTTTTTTGCTGACAGAGGACAAAATTATACCTACAGAGTTCTCAATTCAGGCAACATTCTGTTCAGAAAGATTAATTAACCACTTTTCAAGTATCTACAATTACGAAAGCTTTCTTAAATAAATTTGAACCTTCCTTTGTTTAAGAGATGTCACAAGAGAATTAATGCTAAAATTAAGTTAGGAACAAATTCTATAGTGATTTATCCTACATATTGCATATGCTACAGATTCCATGGAACTGAGTTGTGTTTAATGTCCAAATGCTTGTTTCCTTTGGTGTCCACTGCAAAGAAATGAATGTTATGTATGTATACACACACCAGGGGCACATAGAAAAAGCAGTCAAAGATAAAGCCAAGATGATTCTGAACAGACTTCAGCACAATAATCTAGCTTAACTGAAGTTTTATCCTTACCTATGACTGCTTGCCTATAAGCATCCCTGAAACGATTCAGGTAATATCTGTTTGCAGAATTTACTCCATCCTTCATTACTCCTGCCAGCTTTCTTTCACCAGTCCTTGTGAAGTCACCCTGTTACAAGAACATGCAAGTCATGCACACACACAGCTTAGAAGCAGCAGACTTAGCTCAAAAGCTTTGGCATCTGATACTCCAGATTGAACAAACAACAGCTCAGCAGTGATGTTCAAGTAACTATTTCCATAGACAAGTTGAAAATAAATGTTCTTAGAAAAGCAAAGTATTTCTCGTGGCATCATTTGACTCTTCAGGGAATCTCACACTTTTGACAGAAATATAATTCTGTGTATAATTGTAATGGAAAGCTAATCAGATAAATGCCCCCTAATATTCAAGCCAGACGTTCAATAGCTCAGTTTGGGATGCTCAAACATCTCAAAAAAATTGTCCTTTATCAAACAAACATTATTGAAACAAGGGAGCTTACTGAGAATGGTTTGCTTTTTTTTTTTTTTTGCCTCTGCTACTAAAGCAAGCTAACTTCAACATACTGAAAGAAAACAGTAGATAACCACACTGCCTCAGAAACAAATTTCTATGCCTTCTTATGCCTTCTGTGATCTAGAAGGTGAATAAGAAGCAGCCTTGGTAGTCATACCTCATTAGAGGATTCTGATTATTTTCAGAGAACTTGAGAACTGATATAGAGTAGTTCTAAAAATCCTGATAACTACTATTATGAACATCAAGTATATTTCACCTTTAGTTGAAAGAAATCTCACAATCAAAATGTTAACCCCAATAGTGGGTAGAGATATCCAGCAAGCAGAAGAACTAAAAATTTATGCCTGTAAATCAAGTTTTACCTAGTTAAAGCCAAATACTAGTAGTAAGACAAGAGTGTTGGGCATTTTTGATTGCAATAAAAAGACTAGTGTAACAAGATTTAAAAACAGATCTAAATGTAAAGCATTCCTCCTGCATAGATTTTCTCCAGTACCAGATAGCAGGAATTGTTCCAATGGAACACACAGGAAGTAGCTTCAATTCTACGTCTGTGGTTTTTCAAAGTCATCTAAAAGCTTAAGGAGTGGACAGGAATGGACTTCACACCTGATTCTTTTCTTGTTAGATCGTACTACAACTAATTAAGTAAACTTATGGAACAAAAACTAAATTGTTATCATCCTACTATGTACAGTAGCCTGATATTAAGTCGCTCAGAGTACTTTTGAAGTACCTCAGCTGTGCTTAAAAGTACTCTAACTCTGCTTACTTAGAAGTAAAGCATATAATAAATCTTAAACTCTTAGCTCACCTAAGAGCAATGCATCTAGACACGAAACTAACAGAATAAAGTTATCTAGAGCCAGCAGTTCCACAAGACACCTGGACACTCAAGCCTTCCTCAGCTTTAGTACAAAATGTTCTTCTGGTAAAAGGCCACAATCTCTGCCAGGAAGACAGAGTAGGTGGATAATTCTTCTTCCATAAGACAACAGCTTTCCATTGGAGGTAAAAACTACAATGTAGCACACAGCTCCCTAACAAAACAGGTAACAGTTGACTCTTTACCTTCAAGGCTGCTGTGCCAGCATACTGCCGGCTTATGGCATCCCCGTTGTTTGCCCATATTATCTGGTAGATCCTATTGCACTTCACCGGCAAAGGCTGCTCTGGAGGCATCACACCCAGTTTTTTGAGCTGGAATTTGACATACTTGTTAATATAAATCCTTCTTATGGAAAATATCAGGAGAACGTGACCTGCTATCCATGTTAAAGTTCTAAAAGGTTAAACAAGCTAATTACTTTTATTACAAAGGTACTCATAGAGTCAAAGGTTTGGAAATAAAGTGGAATCTCTTTCTAGTTGCAAGAAAAGAAGCATGCCACAAAGATTTTTCTTGTAGACACTAAAGCCAGTATAGTCACTCCATTTTCAGACTCACTCCTTCCCCAAAAGAAAACTTTAATGGCAACTTGGCATGTTGTGTTTATAATTAAGGCATGTTCTTCAGAGCACCCAGTACTTTCAGGTTTTCCCAGATAAGTCTCAGGTATAACAACTGAAGTCCACATATTAAATTGGTAAAGCTGTAGAGTTTCCCATTCTGAAATTAATACTATTATACGTAACTGCAGGAGACACTAAATGTTAGACCTACTGCAGTGATACCTGGACAAACCTCAATTTGCAACTTAGAATTAAAAATGCTCAAGTATGTATGTTCGCAACATAGGTTAAAATTGATACAAGGCTATTCATTTACTTTGCAAACCCTATTAAGTTCCCAACTGACGTAAAGTTAATCCTACAGTTCCTAGAAGACACAAAGGAAAGATGCATGTAATTGTAAATATGCCACTTCCCGTCAATCAACTCCCAGTGTTTTCTCAGTTATGAATTGATTCTTAAGTGCTTTGGCTATAATTTGGGAAGGACAGAGCACATCATAGCTAATATCACAATAATTATTTAAAAAGACCTCCCCATGTTCCGTGCAATCACCTATTTAGAAAGATGGCTTTTGAATTTACATTGGTAATGGAAATAGAAACCTGTTTATTATCTGCAAATAGCAACTGCCAGATAAAAGGCTTAGAGCCATTCAATCTTTGTATTTATGGAAGGCCCACCCTATTTTCTATCCCTTGCTTAAGTACAGCCAGATTTGTTCATTATTTTAGAAGCTTCAGTGATTCCCCCAACCTACGTTACATTTACAAGTACTATTACATACTGGAGAGGGCAGATTATCAAACTGTCTGGGACACTAACTTTATGTTATGGCACATTTCAAACTGAAATGACTAAATCCAAACAAAAGAACAATCAAGATGTGGACAGTCCCTTCCTCTCTGAAGAAAGAGAGTAGGCACCACTGTTTTCAAACGATTTTGAGTTATATTAGCAGCTTCATGGCTCTCCAAGCAGTTTGCAAAGATCCTTTCCAGCAGATGTTAATTTAGCTTTATTCAATAACAAAAACTTCACTGAGCTGCAGGGGTTGGAAGGGACCTCAAGAGATCAAGTCCAACCCCGCTGCTAAAGCAAGTACCCTGGAATAGGTCACACAAATAGGTGTGTTTCCCTGTGAATAATAGCAAAACTTTGAGGAGCTCACTACTTAAAGAAAATGACATTAGTTATACATGCCTGCTGTTCCATGACCACTCTTGCAATAGCAGCCTGCACTACGTTGGTACGATCCAGACAGTCCATGCAGTTAACTCGAAAAATTCCCTCCTGTTTACAAATCACACCAGCTTGATCAACCCTTTCAAGATTTAAAAAACAAAAAATTCAGTGAAAGCAGTGTAGTTTATCAGCCCCTACAGACACAAAATTTTACACATGGACTGTAGCTCGATTTCACTCATCATCACACCATGTGATGCTCAGTTTTAATTATCATTTCTCACTTATTTGAGAAAACACTGTTTTCAACAGTAGGGTTTTAGCTCTAGGTTTTATGGGTCAAGCAATGAGCATTTTCCATAAATGTAAGAAACCTTAGAAACGTTAAACACAGTAAACCTCAAGGAGAAAATAGAACCTGAGAATTTTTGCTGTCAGGTGTATAGAAAAGTAATGCTTCTGAACACTGAATACAGTGATGCACAAATTTGGAACCACAAAACATACAGTTAGAACAAATTCAAGGTTCTGAATAGGCACTTGTCCCCCTGAAACAACTTAATACAAGCTTGAAAACAGTTAAGTACCTACCAGCACCACTTCATGTCAAGAATAATGTCATGAATGGCATCAGTCAGTGTTTGAACATTTTCAAACTTCATTCCTCGGCTAAAATACAGAATTTCATACCAGTTAGTTTGAACTGAAGTAGTGATTTTCTTTGGCATTGCAAGTAACAGAAAACAAATGACATGAAGCATTTAGCTAAGTGGGAGGTAGCAATCTGACAAATGCTGATTCTATAAGGAAAAACAAGTATGCAGCTATTCAGGCATGAGAACCGTTCTGTAATATTTATGGCAGAGTCAACAAAAATGGATCTGAAGCTGGGATAGCCTGCCCTGCTTTTCCAGCCATCCTATAATAGTAACACCTGCAGACACACCTTCTGACAACCTCTGCCAAGAGTTGTGCTTTCAGTACCCCATTCACTTATGCCATGTGAACAACAGTACTCATTACTACAGTTCTTGGAAGAAAAGTAAGCAAACAGAAATGAAAACTCATTGCTAAGTGTCAGTTCAGGATGTTTACAGAGAAAAATGTGACCTTAAGGACTTTCAGTACTTTCCCCTTTCCCCACTTTCAGATAACATCTTGTAGTGACAGACTAGGTCAATAAAGATTTTCCAGGCCAGATCCATCCCTTATATTAAGTTCGGAAGCAAAGAGTAAAGTGATTTTAGATAATATATTTGTCCACAACTGCAGTCTGCTTGAGGGAAGCAGGAAAAATACGTGGTTATGCGACAGATCACATGTAGGGGCAGGCCACACAGCACTAGATCATGCCAATGTCAGAGCAGAGTCATGAAAACAGCAGCTATTTGTACTGCATTAAAGTAAAATCTTGTGTATTTTATTAAATAATCTAAATATGTGATGGGTTCTTCTGGAAGAAAAATACCTTATAGCAATGAATTACATGCAGAATGCTCAACTGTTAGAAAAGCAGGTCAGCCACCAAATCACACTTACAGCATGTAAAGAAACCTTTGCTTTATAAAGCACAGCAACATTAAGTTTCACATAACAGTGCATATTTAACCAAGATCAGTGACAAAAATCTACAAAAAGCAATGCTTGTTAATCCCAACTTGAACTTTATACATTGCTTTACACAAGATATTCTCCCTATTCAAAAGGAAGTGCGTTGCACATGCAGAAGTCAGAAATAACAGCTTTTCTCCACCCTTTTGTTCTTTGGTTAATAAAAAATGCAAAGCAATTAAGCATGTTTCTTACCAGTGCTCATGGAAGTCAAATGAAACATAGGTCAAATTTGCATTATTGTACAGAAGAACTTGTTTAAGGTAAGCATCTCCAATAATCTTCTCTCTGCCTGTCTGATCCACCAGATTAATAATGACCTGTTCAGAAATGTAGATTTAACACTTGCTACCCTTTGCAATGTGACTCATATAATGCAGTAAGTAGTACAAGAGTCAAAAAAAGATTTGTGATAAGCTATTGTCTTTGATAAGTTGTACTTGAGATCAAATAAGTTCTAGACATTAGCTGAACGTTAGCACAAGAGCTATAAAATGCTAAGGACAGGTATATAAAAGCAGGCTTAAACATCTTTGCAAGTTACCACACCTGTCAGGTAACTCTAAACTGAGATAAGATTCTATTTACGTAGCATCATTCCGGTAATCACAAGAAGCATGCAGAAAACCTTTTGTGAGCTATTTCACCATGTCACACCCACCTGCTTTTTGTAATTTTTCAGCTGTTCCTCAAAATGTGCACGAAAACAGGACACTGTTTCATTTTCACCTACAAAGCAGAGCAGTCTTAGACAAAAACAGTCTGTTCAGCGTAAGTTCTCTTAGAAGAATTAATTCATACTCAAATCAATACTCAAAGACAGCCTTGCTTAAAAACAGCACAATACATTCTACAGAATTACTTTTGTGGTCCATCATGAGTTCTATCAGCTCCAACATTGCTGTTCTACTACTACATTTTATTTGAAAAATCATTCTTCAAGTTTGCTTTCTTTTGCCTTTGAGTTGAGAGCAGGGTGGTGTGGAAGAAACTCTGATTTTGAATTATTCCACTTAAAAACTCACTCTTGTCCAGACGGGGCCGTGGGTTATATCTATATCCAACTTGGCTCCAGAAAACAGGCACAGAGCCTCTTGTTTGTACAAACGAAAGAGTATGATTATGGACATGAATCAATTGCTCTGTCTCAACATAATTTGCCACATTTCCATTTTTATCAACACCTCTTCGCTTATACCGCATTCCTAGGAAGAACAAGAATAACAATCAATTCACATTTTGAGTATTAAAATGGCTAAATCCTACATTACTGCTTTTTTTTTTTCATTCCCATCCCAACTCTAAAAATAAAAATAAAGGAACTCCATTCAAAGCCAATGATCAATGGCAAGAGTTTCTCTTATAGGTTTCAAATGTAAGCGTTCTTTATCAAGATGGAAATTCTCAAAACTATCACTCCCAAGGATACATTTGATGCACAATAGAGACTTCCAAAGCTTAGTTTCAGTAACTGCTCTCCTATAAGTGGAGATGGGTACATTTCTTTACCAGCTCTGTGCCGACTCCGTCGTGAAATAAGCACCACGAGGAACGTTGGATGAACATCATCTACACAAGTTGATTCCTGAGGTGGCGTTTCAGGACTGCTCTTCTCATCATCAGAAGATTCACTGTAGTTGACTACAAGTTCTTCAATCTGCACAAATCCTTGTATGATGGGCATAATCCAGAAGTCCACTTCAGTATTCTGAAGGTTACACCAAAAAAAAAAACAAAAAACATCACATTACATCCCTGTTGGTTCTACATTGTCATGCCCATTATTTCTCCCATTTCTCATTTATATACAGCTGCTTCACATCCCCTTCAATTTTTAAATAGCTTTTGTCATATCGTTGTCTTATTTCTGTAAAAGGTATCAGCATTTTTCCCTATTAGTTGGAGGACTTTTAAACTAGGAATAAGATAAAGAAAGCAACTTAAGATTTTTTTTCCTCCTGTGGAAATGAAGCAAGATAGAACAAGGCTAAGCAGAAATTTTTTAACAAATGAAGACAGATACAAGACATACAGTAAGGTGTCTGCTAGCATCTTTAAAAGAACCTATTATTTGGCCTAACCTCAAATGGACAAAGTAGTTACAGTTCACTATTTTATCCAGGAGACCGTATGCTGAAGAAAAAGAAATAAAGTATAGAATCATAGAATCCTAGAATCACAAGGTTGGAAAGGACCTACAAGATCATCCAACCATAAGTAGTTACTGTATGTCTCTCTTCAATTCTGTTCATTAGTCAGGAAACCTCATCAGCTTTATCTGCTCTGAAAAGAAGTTCAAAATAACTTGTTCCACACTACTGTTTATGCTGATCAGCTATTCTTTGCAAGGATAAAAGCAGTATTCTCCACTTCAGGAGATAAAAATCATTCCATCATTTAAATAAGAAAAGCTTTAGAATAGATCTGAAGTTTACATTCACACAATAGCACAAACTGGCATATCACAGCTTATTCTGCATTGTTTATTAAAATAAGCCACCTAAGGTGAGTTTATTTGTTAACTAGCACGGAACATGGGCTAACTGAAAGTTTGGCTGGAGGAAGAAGGGAGCATCACTTGCCTGGTAGGTCAGTTGCAGAAGGCCAGCTCTGATTGTGACCAATCTAAACATGTTTTTAAGTCAACTTCTATGTGGCCTTAAAATACACATTGTAACTGAAATTCTTTTTAGAAGTAGTACTTACAAAAAACAGCTTTTGTTAGAAATAACTTACATCAGTGACGATAAGATCTTCAATCATGTGTTTGTTCCAAAAGAATCTGTCATCAACCTGTTTAAAACAGAGGCATTTTTTGCAACAGTATTCAGAAATACTCCTAGCAAAGACACCAACATTATTGACCACAACTGCACATACAAGTTCAGCATTCACTGCTTTTGAATATAACAGCTCAATTCAGAGCATGCTGCTAGAAACTTTTACTTCATTCTCATGCATTGAATCCAGCAATAGGGCAAAATCTTCAGTTACTGTGCTACCTGAGGGTGTGATGAGTCAAGTTTTGACCAGCAATTTTTCCATTATGTGTGCAGTTCAAGATGTAGAACACTTACTTTTCGCCAGAGTGGCAAGTCGGTTTTCTCACACGCACTCTGTCTCTGCACAGAATTTGTTAGATCATAGGTAAGGCTGTAGTAAAAAGAATCTGAATCCATGAACATTTTGAATAATTCCTCCAACAGTCTCTTCTCCAACCTCTCTTTCTCTTTGCTTTCTTTAATCTGAAAGGAAAGTAATGGCTTTATGTCTTATCAAAAGAAGATTCTAGCCACATTTGCAAAATATCATTTCTAAACTTGTGAAACATTTTCTCATTCTCTGTTCTAATCTTAATATTCTTTAGATTTTTCAAATCCAAACAACAGTGTCAGAAGTGTTGAGTTTGTTGGGTCTTTTTTTTTCTTCAAGATGGTATGAGGTTCTCTGAGAAATGGCGTGCCAAAGTTTGTCTAGCTTTATGGTAGTACATATACATGCAGAGCATCTTGCAGAAGTTTAGAAACCCACTAGAAACAAGTCTGGGTAAGATGACATTTCATTAGAAAATGCTCAGCAATTATATGGTTACAAAATATAAAAACAGAAGAGCAACAGTGAAGTAATAAAAAATGAAATCAAGCTTAAGACAAGGTAGATATACATTTTAGTCCTACAGATTCTCTTTCCAGGTCTTACTACTACTTACTACTTGATTACCCATCCATCATAACCTCTGAGTTACCAAATAAACATTTTGGAAGGAAAATAAAATAAAATAAAATAAAATAAAAATAATCAGTAAAAAGCCTTACCTTTTTTTTATTTGGAGCAGATACATTTGATTTAATTTGTGTAAGAGTCTTCAGCAGAAACTTTGAGTCATCTGGGGACTGCGTAATCTTCTCTGGCTTGTTTATTCCAAAATGGTGCTTTTTACAAAGCTAAGTAATAATGATATTGAATTAAAATCAATATATACTCTGCATAAAATCCAATGAAATTTTAATTAAAGTCTGCGAAGTCCACAGACTTGGGGAAGAAGCTCTGTAACACAAGAGGAATGTACAGATTTCCATCTACAGCATAATTCTCTTCCTCCTTTTTAAAAAGCTTTTTTCCCCTGTGATTGTTTGTCTGCTTCTATTTTACATTAGCTGAGTATCCAGACCCACCTCAACTTATTACCAAACCTTTAAAGTGAATTAGTATTATTCAGTTGAATGCTTTTAACCATTCACTTTATGAAAAAGAAAAAAAATGGAAAAAAAAAAAACAAACACAAAACTTACACAATGTTTAAAGCAAGGATTTCCCTTGAAGCCAACTCATGGAATTAATATCCCATAGCAAGATGGAAACAAGAACATCCATGAAAAAGTATATGCTCTTCTGATTCAGAAAAGAAAAAACATGTTCTCCTTGCAAAAGGCAAACACATGAAGTCCTATGGATATTCAGATGATCTGAGGAGCAGCTGAGTTGAAGGCACACTGGAGATCTGAATGTTTACACAGGCTTCTACATACAGAAACATCTAGTGGATGCATACAGTCAGTGTGCATCACTGTAAAGTGATGGGCTTTACTGAAAATCCTGCCACCTTCATTCTTAAGAGGTGGTCAGCAGAACGTGTTTGGTTTTTTAAAAACGAAAAAAAAGGAAAGCCAGTATATTGAAGATTCTCATACCTCCAGTTCCAGATCCTGAGGTTCTGTTTCAGAAAGTGGAATCACTGCAACCTTTGTTATTTTGTACACCTCGTGATCTCCTGGAAGTTTGCCAATCAATGCTTTCTGACGAATTAGAAGTAGCCACCATGGTAAATCTGGAGAAAGATTAGTAAAGCCTTACTGTAAAGTTATTTACTTCAATTAACCTGTCAAATTTTTTCTCACAGTGTAAAATCCTCTGCCAGGAATTAATTGATGAGAAGAATCCAGTGAATGATGATTTGCTGCTGCCACGTTTTGCCTCTGCACATTACAAGAACAAATCATCTCCTGAAAAGATTACTTATTCTCACAAAGAGGTAGCGTAGTTGCCATCAGTGAAGCAGAGAGACATTTTCCACAGACATCCATCAAAGGTAAAATTACCTCTAGGATGACGGGCATCCCCAACATTCCAAGTGGCAGCACAACTTGAAATGAACGGCTGGATCTCACCAGGCAGCAATCTATGCTTTTCCCTTCATAACTTCTCTTGCAGAGAAAAACAGAAGACAGACTACTTCTCCCACCTGAGTTTAAGTGGAGAGGTCCTTTGCAAGCATTAAAAGCTTGCTGCCATAGACCGATATGCTTCCACAACTGACAGTTCACAGTATTGTGCTTTGAAAAATATCTATATTCCATATGCTTTACCTATATTCTATATGCTTTATCTAGTCTGATTGCCTTGCACAGTAAATTCTATATCCAGTTTAAGCCCCTGAGTTCCTTAGGGGAAAAAAAAAAAAGTGTTAAGTTACAGTAAATTCTCAATGTACTTTCGGCTTAGAATCAAAGCTTCCAAGTTAAAAGCATCTTTCCAATAACAGCAGTTCAATCTTTAATGTTTCTGCCCAAAGCAGATGATGTGTTTCAGCAACAGTTTGCTCATCTAAAAAACACGCACTGTGACAACACACTGTTTCAATTGTGTATCACCATCTTTGGAATAATATCAGCCTGTAATACAAGGAGCACCATGCTTTTGTAAATTACAGTTTCCCAAAAGTACAAATGTGCTCTGACAACCAGGGAAGGAGGATATGAAGTCATGCACTGATTGTTCACTTACGCCAACTTCCAAGAGCATTTCTGCACTACTTCCTGAGCACAGAATCAAAACCATCACCTCTGGAGTCACAGAGGTGGTTCAGGTTGGCAGGGAACTCAGGATGTCATCCTGCTCTAACAGGGGAAGCTTTGAGGTTAGACCACATTTTTCCACACTGTCACATAATCACAGCCTCCTAAAAAATGAGTTAACTGCACAAATGATGGTCAATGGATAAAAGATAAGGACATGAGAATGAGAGTGGACACCAGCAAAAAGGTTATCCTTACTGACAGCAGGTGTGAAAGAGCTGTTTAGTACACGTACAAGCAACATGACTGACAACCACTCTTGCCTTCAGCTTGACACCTCATAACCATGGGATAAGGTGACAGTAATAAATGTGAGTTTTTCATACTTTTATCTGTAAAGTAGCTCTAGGTTTTTTAGATTGTTTTCTACTGGGCAGAACAATCAGGTTTCTGCAAATCCAGTTCAATCCAAGCTTAACACAGGGGTAGAAAACACAGCATCCAGACATTCTCAGTGAACACTATACTCTCATTTATTCCCCCTTATGGAGGTTTAACCACACAATTCAAACCCATGAAGAGATCAGCATGTCAACAAATAAAACAGATTTGTAAAGAAAGGATACCATCTAAATCTCAAGCAAAATAATCAGAATGACACCACTACAAAAAATTAAAAAAAAGGTATCTCATATTGCCTTAATAGCAGTAAACAAGAACTCAGCACAGCCAAGTGAGTTCTGTTACCTTGGAGTGCATTTTTTTAATAAAGACATGGTTATCTTGGCATGTGTTTCAAAACTCCATTTATATTACAGCCACAGCCAAGGAATGTTAAAAAATAAAAAAAAATAACAGGAGTTTCCTGGCAGGCCAAAAGAAAACGGGCAAGAATCAAGGTATGCAGATAAAAAACGCCCCCAATTAAAAACTACAGCAACAACCACAGAAACTCAGTGTTATTGCCAGGAATGTCCAGATAAGAGTAGTGCTTCTACAGTTTAAAAAGATAGTTATGTAAAACTTTTTCATTAAGAACAGAAGGCTATAGCTACATGTCCTTCCATAAGCTGCATGTGTTAGGTCATCCACCAAGATCCCACAGTTTGTTTTTGTTGCTTTTCTTTTCAAAACCATATTATGAACTATGGCAGAGCAGCAACAACTGATGTAAAGCACTGCATCTAAAGTAACCCATCACCTCTCATTCCTCACTGAAAGAGGAATTTAGCTCTGCTTTTGCTTTACTGCCAGCACACCACTGCTGTGTAATTTATTTTCTAACATTTCTCAAAGCATTTCATTTCTCCAAGTGCCTTTTAGCAATGATTAGTCTTAAACTGTGCATAAGTTTAATACAAGTGACACTTCTTGCAAGTATTTTGATCCTAACAAAAAAATACTATGGTATCATTTTCTATTTGCTAATTTAAGAAGATGAGATGAAAGCCAAGAAAATGTTTTAAACTGTTGACTGGATTAAGTTAGAGGCAGCAGCAGTTGCACTTCAGTGATGGTATTTCAGATGCTGAACCACAGGTCTCAGTGGCATGGCAACAAAAGAGCTTTCCCTTCCTGGAGACAGGGAGGGAAGTATTTCACTTCCTTTTTGCTTACAGAGTCTAAGGAAACTTGACAGTAACGTTTTATTCAGGTCTTAATCAACCCACATAAGAAAACCAAACTGATAAGGGTGCATACATTAAACTGCATTTTAATTACAAGATAAAGAAATGTTTGATTGCAGTGTGGAGTTATGCGGAATTTAGCTGGCACTAAGAAGTCCAGCACTGGGTTATAGTTTGATATATGCCATTAACTCTGAGCATATTCTAATAAATGTTTGATTAACTAATCTCTAATCAAAACTGATTACAACTTTTACATGGGATCTTCCACCACTGAAAAAAAAAAAACAAAAAAACACGTGGACTAGCAAACAACAGCACCAGTAGTAACTTCAGTGGTCAGAAGCCAAAGTCATACTAACAAAGTGAAGGAAATCAAAATTGCTAAAGCAGATCAGAAAATCTCAACTCAGAATTTGATTCCAGGCTACCAATACCACTTCAGTGGTAAAAGTAGCTACTTTCACTACTAACAAGAAATATGCTCTAGTCATGTATTGGAATTTCTGCTAAAGGAATTTGAATGGTTATATTTTGTACATACATAAATAAACTGGACAACAAAACATTATTAATATTCTGTAATTGATAGCATGTCTATGCAATAAATGTTCTTCCTAAATAGAGGCAAGCACATGCACATACTATTCTAATGATGCATACCAAGAAAATGTGCAATGTTACACTTCACACATTATCTTCATAATATATCCTGAATCCCCTCCCATTTGTATTCTTATTTTCAACCCATATTTTCTCATAAGTCATCCTGGGATAGGCCAACAGAGGGTAAGAGACCACATCCCAGTATTCAAGGTGTTTTTTCCTTCCTTAAAAACCATCTTATTGTTTAAGGAACTTCAGTACTAGGGAAGAAGCAAACTATAACTTAAGTAGATTTTATCTTAATTGAGCGCACAATTATGTCCAGACGTACAATTGATTCTCTCAAGCAAAAAAATGTTTCAAAGAATTGAAAAGGACAACCACGCAATATTGGCTGGTTTCTCACCAGACTGCTTCCCTGCCAAGAAACCTTTCCTACACATTCTTCTGTGCTAGGCCAGCAATAAAGGCAGAAGATTTAAAGTAAATTAAATCTCATCCCTAGTTACAGCAATTTGGCAGATTCCAATGCTAAATTAAGAACATCCCTGTAGTCAGTTTTAGGTTATTTCAAGGTCACTTCAGCATTACTCCGCTATTCTTGCATTAAGTGGATCTTTAGAGAACATGTAAGGATCTGTGTCTTTTGAGAACATGTAAGGATAGGGAATATGGGCTTTGGGCTTACTGACAGCTTAATAGCATACTGGCAGCAACTTTCATTCTTAAGAAAGTATTTAAAGTTTACAGTATTAGTCAATAATCACAGAATCACAGAATTGTAGGGGTTGGAAGGGACCTCCAGAGATCATTGAGTCCAACCCCCCTGCCAAAGCAGGTTCCCTACACCAGGTCACACAGGTCGGCATCCAGGCAGGTCTTGAACATCTCCAGAGAAGGAGACTCCACCACCTCCCTGGGCAGCCTGTTCCATCTAAGATGCTCAGCAGGACAATCCCATAAAGGAACCTAATTATCCAAGAGTTCAAAATAAGTTTTCTGATCTTTCTTGTCCAGGTGAAGGAGATAGGGAAAGAAAAAGGGAAGAAATCAGAGCAACAGGTCCTCCTGATCCTGCTGACACAAGTGAGGTTTGGAAGAAAAGTATTTCATCCAGCTTGCACTGCCCAGGACTCTTATGGAAATAACGGTCCAGCACTTAAATATTTATACAATTCTTACTGATAAAGTTTCCAGGTGACAAAGATTGATACACAAATAAGTAATGAAGACAGTTACTGTTACAGTGTTAGATGACTCAGCTGGAGGACTACATAGAACTATACCTGAACATAATCAAGTGACAGTTCATTGACAATAACTGGTTTAAAAAGACCTACTTAGGCCGTTTCAGTCAGTTCTCCTATTTTGACTACAGTGCAATGAGGATTCTCTCTTAGTGGCTGCCCACTAGACAGCTACATCATTAAAGGCCTCAACATGCACAAGAACAGACCATAAGCACTTTGTGTGTTATTTAAAAAAAGGCAAAGAAACAAAATGCTAGCAGTTGCCTAAGCAGCAACTGGATGGAGTGCCCGGGTGGGCATAATTGATAGAGTAGCTGTAAAAAACATGGAAAGATATCAGGCTTATTACCTGATAACCTTAATTTACCTGACAACAGCAAGCTGGCACTTTAACAAATGTCACATGCTGGGGATAGTCTCATTGCAGCTTTCATAAGCAGAATTGTCTCACAGTAAGCATAGATGCAAGAATATTCAGTTGCCATGATACAGGAGAACTTTCAGAAAGCATGTATCAGGGTCTCTCCCTTGAAAGGCTTTGATGTGAGAGTCCCTAAAGAGAAGGGGGAGGCCTCTGTGTACGAGAATAGTTTATTAACAAACACAAACATGTCAAAAGCAACCATGAAGCATTTTCCCACAGCAGGAAAAAAAGGTCATTACTGGAGTTCAGCAATCGTTCATCTGTTTATTATGGACAGCACACACTGAACAGCACAAGCTGCCTGGATGAGAAGAGAGTGTCAGAGAAAGGCAGAGTCTGAACCACCTTGTATCATCAGATCAGAAAGAACTGCTGAACAGATCTGCAGAAGGAGGACAGAAAAATATCAGGTGGAAGTCAAAGAAGATCAAGCGATGCAACTGGAAAGAGGAAATGGCCAAAAGCTTTATGAAAAAAGAAAGGCTCTGAACTGTTCTCTCAGAAGTGAGACCTAGCGGTTACGGTAACTATGGAGCCAGCCACTTCCCAGAACTAAATCCATCATACCCTCACAGCCTGTTTTCCTTCTTCCTCTACTGTTAGTGTGCCTCTGCTATCTTGACTCAGCTGTTCCTTTGTGACAAACATCTGATGCATTTCAGCACTCAATCCATCCTGGCATCTTGGAACACACTTGAAACTTTACTTACATTTACCTGCATCTATTCAAGAATGACATGAAATACTAAAAGGTTTACTAAAAGGACAGCACATAGAAAATGAATTAGAGTTTATGGCTAGCTTTTCTATCTGACAGTAAGTAGACATTCAGAGCTCTAAAAGATCCTTTCTAGTTAACACTGGTTTATTCAATCATAAACAAGTTTCCAAATGTTTCTTTTACTTTTAAATATGTTTCAGTAGTAACCACCCTCAATGCACTTAATTGACAAAAATCATATTTTCAGATATTAAAAAAAAAAACTTTTGTTCAGTATTAATAATGCTGCAAAGCACTTTTTTAAAATTGTGCAAAAATTAAATGAGTATCTCACATGGAGCCTCAGGTGGAACTTCAGGTACTGACTTTTATTCTTTGTGGATGCAGTCCTCTACTTTTACAAGACAATTAAAAAATCAAATCAAATCAAATCAAATCAAATAAATCTATGCACCAGAAAGAGGAATTTGCATGCCACAACTAAAATGTAAACGCTTTGATGAGTTCACATAGTTGGGAAGTTCTACACCATTGCAGAGAACACTACATAATCCACTTGAGTTACGCAGTTCTATTTACAGTATCAGTGCCTTTAAAACAAATTGAGCAGTATAAATAAAGCAATATAAAATAAAATGCCACATACCTGTGTGAAGCTGGACTTTACCAATGACTCCTTCTACCAGGCCCAGGCAAATAGGATTCCATGCCAAAAGAAGATCAGTAGCTGAAAAAAAATAACAATAATAATAATGCATATTTTGTAGTAAACTTAGCTGGACAATTAAGCCAGCACATCATTCTTCCTGCTTTCCCCGCTCAGATGATAGAAAATATACTATGACTCCCATAACAAGAGTAAGATACATAAGCTGTTCAATTTTTGCTTGCTAATAAGTAGCTATTTTAATTAATTGACCAAATGATTCCTTCTGTTTATAGTTCTACTCCTTATCCTTCCTGGTTATTTCAGAAAAAAACTATAAGAGTGTTTTCAGCTACCTAATTCAGTTTAATGGATGTTTAGTTCTCCTAATATCCACTGGAATTCACAACTGAACTGAAACTTTACATGGTCGTAGTGAAATTAAATACAGGTCATTAAGCTGCTAACGTAGCCCCAAGAAGACCAAGCAGATGTTAACACTCAGCTCCAGCTCTGTCGTATCTGCCCAGCTATTATTCATTCCACAACATTTTTCTATATACATATAGATGCACATTTTCTTTTGGAATAATACTGAAGTATATAGGCTTCATGGTTTCTAAGAAACCATATTAAGAAGTGCCAACGAACCACAGAGGATGTATAAAAGCAAACAGGAAGGCAACGCTACCACCTTCATCATTTGCAAAAGGTATTCATCTCAGCATGCATTCAAACTATTGTTAGATGGAAGTCAGTAAGACAGTATCAGTGTGAAAAGCATTTGATGGTAACAAGATGCTAATATTCATTTAGAGTTTCTAACAGCAGTGTAATACCTGTAAAGTTCAATGCGGTGGCAAAAGAAATTTCAGAATTTTAGCTTAAGTCATTAAAAACAATATTTGTGTGGGAAAGCTGAGGTTTTCTATTCCAATAGTTTGATATTAGCTCAAGGGAGGAAGTTTCTCCAGTTTACATGTAGGAAAGTTACATATCTTAGATCCCATATGTAAATATTTTCAAGAGCAGACTGACATAACATCCCAAGATAAAGAGACCAATCATCCACCCACACCTTACTCACAAGAACTGAGTTCCTCCTTTAAATCTGCAGATAACAACCAATGCTATTTTATTATTTTTAAACACAGTTATTTTTAAACGCTGTATTCTCCTTGAAACTTATTCACAACTCAGCCTGCTGTTCCAAGAATGCGGATTTATTCTGAGCTTTCAGTTTAACACATTTCATAGTAAACCAGACCTCATTAGTTTAATCACAGAATGCAAGCATTTGTATGAGACACAGAAGTCAGCATAGATCTGAACTTATTTAAAAGGAGTTTTCTGCACCATGCTTTCACAAAGAAAAGCAGGAACTAAGTGCATAGGCTATCAAGATTTCAAGATGTTTGCAGGAGGTGGTACAAAGTTGTGGTTAATATATGCAACCAGGCTGTGCCATTTAATGGTAGATATGTGCAGAAAAACACCTGATTGTTCCTGTTTTACTGTGAGAGCACTAGAGAAAGTTACTTGGTACAGGAGCCAGTATAAAAGAAGTGAATTATGCCATAACTGAAGTTCCTAAGGAGACTAAAATAGATGAGCACAAGAAACTGCAGTAGTGTGAACAGGGATTTATGCTCAAGCCTCTCTGAAGTGATTCAAACTCATTATGTTTCTATATACTGAATATCTTTTCCTTATACAAAACATGTTCAAGTATCACCTGAGCTCTTCATCTCAGAGTTTCAGTTCAAATAATGCAGAGGAGCATCTTTGTGCTGAGTAGATAGGAGCTTACAGGTAAGAGGCACAAGGAGCCATCCCTGCTCCCAAGTTTTTCACCACCTTCCCCAGCTCAGCAACACACCCTGAGTTTCACCTTCACCTCAAGAATCTTGTAGAGCTATATTTCAAATTTAATCTATTTTTGCTATCTTGGACACTTGCAATTTACTTTATCCATGTGCCAATGAGAGATAAAAAAAGACACAAGCAGATAAAAAAAAAACTAATAAACCAGGCACATACAGCAGTACTGGTAGCAATTTAAAGTATTCAAATCACTTCATATTTACCATAGCTACTACAGAAATAAAAATCTGAATACTATCCAGGTCTTTTTAAGCCATTTGTTTCCTGCTATAGCAAGATATATTAAGAACAGAATCATTAAGGTTGGAAAAGACCATTATGATCATCTGGTCCATCAACCTCACCTGGCCATGTCCACTGACCACATTCCTCAGTACCATATATTTATGTTGCTTGTAAACTCCCAGGAACAGTGACTCCATCACTTCCCTGGGCAGCCTGTTCCAATACCTCACTACTCTTCTTGAGCCAAATTTTTTCCTAATAGTCAAACTATTAGTAGGAAAGCTGTCAATGGTGAGTTCGTTCCAATAATGCACAAAAATGGGAAAAAATGTTTAAGAAGATTTACTTGTAATTACAGGTATAAGGAAATGACAGTTTACACTTGCCTACCAAGAGAAAGATGTAAAGAAACTGATCCTGGGGACTGTAAAACAGAAAGGTTTTTAAAGGAGCCTTCATTTTCATGCTCTGACACACACAGCCCTGGACGTGGCCAGGGAACATTTCTCCCACGTAGGGCAGAGAATGAGAACTGACCAAACTTTAACTCCTGTGTTCACTTACAGCATAGCCAAGCTTTGGAAAAATAGGAGCTATTGGGAGTCAAATATACATCACACTAAGACCTCAAAAGGTAGCAAATACAGATCCACAAGCTGGGAAGCAATGACTTGAAATAAACCTGACTATCAAACTACATCAGTGAAGGCATGAAAGCCAACCGTTCCCAGGGAGTTGTGACATGGTGGGAGGAAAAGCCACATATTTAGCAACGTTTGAGGAGAATGACGTGTTTCCTGCAGCATCCAGCAAAATTTAGCTATAAAGAACTCTTACAGGAGAAATGCCTGTAGGCTATGGAAAAAATATCAATTGTGGAATCACACTGTTTTGATGACAGTATCACAAGATTTTTTTTATTTTTATTTTTTTTTTAATAAAAAGAACCTTCTAAAAGAAGGTATGTGTGACAGCACAGAAGCAGGCAGCTCAACATTGTTCTAACCAATAAAATACATCTGTTTTGACATTCTGACTAGAATGTATTTACTAGTTAGAGCTCCAGTTCCCATATGATGGTGTCCTCTGGACTCAGAGCCAACAGCCAGCCATGTTGAATAAATATAACTGAAATAAGCACTGATACGAGCTTGCTGCTCTAGAGAAGTACACTCTGATGTACCTACATAAGGTAGATGAACCAAATTATTCAGCAGTTCCCCCTACCTCATCCTCCAATAAAAGAGTACAGGCCTTCATGTTAAGTGCAGTCGTGCTTACTCAGCTTCAGACAAAGCAGCTCTCAAGCTTATGTACAGTACTGCAAGATTGTCCAAGACTGTTCGCTGTAATTTAACCTGCTGCCCAGCAGTTCTGGCAGCAGCTATTCCTTTAGCCATCATCATGGGTTCTTAAAATTAAAGCAAAAGTTACATGGTTATGAAAGAATTTTAAATATACCCAAAAAAGTTAAATGCAAGCCTGTAAGATTAGTTTAATTATGACATGCAGTAAAATTTAAGAGGCAACAGAAGTTGGTAGATAGCAATACATGTTACAGAAGATGTTCAAGTCTTTCTATAGCCAAGAAAGCAGCAGTTATACCAAAAATAAGCAAATGCTCAGATAAAGTTTCCTCTTAGCATACACAAAAAAACATCTGAAAATATTTGAATACTGAATACCGAAGCCATACAACAGCAAGCATGAATTTATTTTCTTTTTTATTTTTTAAAAGTCTCTATCAGTAAGCATTACCTACCATGGTGCTCAATCGAGCAAAGCACTGGAATACTGTCTGTACCCAAACATAATCAAAGTAGCCATTGTCCACCAAACTGAAAAGTTAACTGTACAGAAAAGTCCATAGCAGCAGTGAGCTAAGCCAGGTGGAACATCTTCCCCTGCTCAGGGAGTTTGTGGTGCCCTCGGTCAGCTTCAATTTAAAGCCCTGCCAGGTTTGATAAGCCTTAGCACATGCACTTAATACTTTGGGACAGAAACCTGGTCCACAAATACATACCTTTAAGTATAGAATTTCCCATTCTTTCCCTTACCCCAAATAAATTCAAGCCATTGGAAGAAAAATTGGCTCTTTTTGCTGATTGCTGTCTGAGATTAGTGATAACAAAGCATACATTTACTCTCCACAGTGACTGCATCAGCATTGTAATCACAGCACAATAGGACTTCCACCACAAACACAGAACAAAACCAGCTCTGATGTGATTATTTCCACATCAGCTCTCTGAACTTACCAGCAGCGATGCAAAGGCAAAAACATCAGATAAAGCTTCTTGAACTGTTTGTGTTTATACAAGCATAACCCTGGGAAAGGCGATATAAAAGCAACTTGGAAGACTGTCAAAAGCCAAAACTGCTTTCTAGCTCTTTCTCCATTCTACCCCCAGCAGATTCTATCCAAGGTCAGGCACGAGCTCTGACAAGGAAACAAACCACTGCTTTGGGACAAGACACTGCTCAGCAGCGAATGGCTACTGCCCAGTCTGATGGGCTTGGGGAGGCAATCAGCCTCCTTCAGGCAGGAGGCAGGAAATTAAGAAAAAGATTTCATTTAGAATCCCTTGGATCCAGCCCTTACCACTGAGCTGCTGTCAGGTTCAATCCATCAGATAACTACAGCCATTTATCTTCCAATTTCGCTGGAAATCAGGCGGATACTTCACAAACACTGGGGAATTTCAAGGAATGGACCTCAGCTAGGATGTGTTCTGCCAGTGTTCTCAGTATGAAAACCAAGTGCCACTGAACTTTAAGCTCAATTTATGCATGCTTATAGGAGCTCCATGTTTATATAAATAAGCATGAACTGTATCAAGACAAACATACAAACATACTCAAAAATTCTTCCCATGGCCTGGCAGGGTAGCAATTCTCACAGCTACTTTCAGCATTCAATAAAAGCAGCAGATACTTATATATGAAAAGAAAGAGCTCAGAAGCAACCTATT